GCAAGCTCAGTGATGAACATACAGGGTCGATATTAAGGAGAAGCCCAGTGGGACCGTTCATTTAATTAGGCTGCAAAAATAATTGCACAGAACTGACATCAATTTTCAAATAAATTCAAAATAGCCTTAATTATTCTTAATAAATGACAAAGGTTTGCCCTATGCTCATGTAATGTAACCACAGGCTTAGACACATAGTACCACTCTTGTTTTACAACCAGTCTGAAACATTACCTGTTTGTTGAATCTGAAACGGTATGGATAATTAGGGGAAATAAATTTGAATCTTAATTAGAAATTCACATTGACAACTACAAATGAAGCCATAAGAGTAATGACAGATAATGACTCAATACAGACCTTTGTGCTATATGTGAAGCCAGAACATCTTTGCTCTCCACAGGTATTCTGTTTAGGGCCGGAGTATGAACTATTTGCTCACACCAGTGTCTTCATATACTGAAGGAAAGAAACACGAGGCAGAGGTGCCAGCATCATATGTACATGTAGAAAATTAGGCTTTTCAAACTATCTCCTATGCATCTATTTAATATGATTGGAAACTTTTTTGTTGGTTTGTTGTTTGATTTTATGATGTCAAATAATTATTTCAGCAAATAGAAGCTCTGAAAAGAATGAGGCCAGTCATCCTTGTATGCTTTTAATCAAGTTATTCTATAATTTAATGTTCATCAGAGAGTACCTAGGGCTGTTTCCTGTATTGGTAGACCAGAGATGCAGTATTGCTGCCTTACAAAACCTCCTGACTGACTGCTTTTATGTCAGCAAGCTCAGAGAGTTTGTGCTTGACTGTGATTAACAGTTTGGTTATTCTTGCATGCTTCAAGCTATTTTTCAGCACTGTATTGTAGTCAAAAGTCTAAATGTACTTTTCTGAACTTCTGAATGTTTTAAACTCGGTTTTCATACCAAGTAGGAATAAAGAGTTGCAATAATCTAATTCTGCATTAAATGGAAAATGCTAAAATCTCTGACATCAAGATACTAAACCAGCTTGCTTCTACACATTTGATTTAGAAAAAGAGTTGCCAGCATTGTTAAACTGAGATTTTTTTATTTTTCTTTGGTGACTTTGCCTCATACACTGGGCAAACTGAAGGTCTCCCATTAACCTTCTCTCTCCAGCTCCATGGTTATTTCTTACTGTTTTGATCTGGCAATCACTTTGCCTGTACCTGTGCTTGTCAGGTAAGCAGTAAGAAGAAAAGTGGCCTTTGCGTTGTAAGAAACCTTGTGTCTGTCTCCTACTGTGCAAGTTTTGTTCAGCCCATGTTGCTTGAGGTGCATCTCTGCACAGGGACAGGCTGAGGAAAACTTCCTGCAACCTTCTGGCCAACTGCACTAATGGCCTTGGACTCTGTAAAGTGCTAAAGAAGAGAGGGGAGAAAATATCTAAGGAAGCATGTTGCATACTCTAAGAAATATACTTTTTTAACAAGTTTGGATGAGGTTTGTAGCTAGTTTCACTGGGCTACTCCACACCTGCATTTATGTAAAAGGAAAAAAAGATTTTAGCAAAATGAAGAAAGCTGTAGAGTGTGTGGACCCCAGTACACTCAACTAAGAGCAATCCCTGTTCTGATGTGTGATAACTGAGTACAAAATTATGCTTATTTAATTTTGGTATTCCTGAGTATAGTCTTAATTCCCTTGCATTGAATTTATTTTTTAAGGGACAGAAATCATATTAAGACATCTATGTAAGTAGGCCAAGGCTTCAAGTTTTTACCATGTATCTCTTGAACTAGCTTCATTCCAGATGAATACTTCTATTATCCTTGTATGTAGTGATCATCTTTATGTGGAGTTGGTTTAGGCTCAATTTTAATGGAAGAAAAAAACTAACACTAACAAAAGTTTTGTTTTTCACTTTTCTTGTATTTGAATTAATGAAAAAAAGAAAACCCAAACCAAAAGCAGTTCTTAAGATGCAGTAATGCTGAATTATGGTTCAATTTGATAATTTTTGCCAGATGTGCAGATGAGCAGCAATGAAGTTCTTATTTAGATTTGGAAGTTTAAAGATCAGGGTTTCCCCCCACAAGTCACGTGGCAAGGTGGCACTGAGGAACCATAAAAATTCTGCTCTTAGGAGCTGTATTCCTTTCACCTGGCTGTAAGTAGTTAAAGGATACTGCCCCTGGTGTGTTGTCAAGTCTTCCACTGGTTCTGCTCCTGGGGTAAGCTGGGCATGCCTGCATGCCTTGCTCCCCGTGTGTTCAGAGCAGTCACTTGTCATTGCTCAATGGCTCCTGTATCCTGTAGCCCTTCTATTACAGGATATTGTTATCTGCTTTCTTTTTGCTTTAGAGAAGATGCATTGTCACTGTTGTCATAGAGTTAGGCTTTGAAATAGATTTCACAGAGTCTTTACGTGTCAAGATGAAGGCTGCAAATTATCTTCACAAGGAGACAAGTGAAGTTTTAAATATTAATATTGCGGGTTTGTTCTGAGTTGCCTATACATCAGAAGCTTAGTGAGTTTTTGTCAGGGTTAGAACTACCTCACTGGTAAAAAAAAGACACATTTTTTTAAGAAGACATTTATTTAGAAAGCCTTCTGTAGGATTTGTGCTGCACTGAAATGTCTTTCTAGCTATACTTTTTATACATTAACTAGCTATACTTACTTAATGATGTATAATGATGACTGAAAAGCTAAAAGATATGCTTATACAACTTTTTCTTCTCGAGCATATTGACCTTCATTTGCAGAGTGATCAGGAGGCAAACTATTTATGGGTTTGTTTGAGTTACTTGAGAATGCTTAGGATTAAAAAGGACCCCACTGCAAGATGAGGGCCAGACAGGCTTAGCCAGGTAAGAGCATATGACTAGAAAAAAGTCTAATTCTGAGGTGAAATGAAGAAGCTTCTGTTTTATTTTTGAACATTGGGTCAGGTGACTCAAACAAACAATGATACATCAGGAAGGAAAATTATTATATCAGGCAGCAGCATGTGTTTCCCAGATTAGGCTTCTTGAGCAAAATTAGATTAAGATTTTCTTTCATCATTCTAATTAAACTATTCTGCCCTTTTCGTTGTCTTAGGTCATTGTTGATGAATGACAGAGGAATGCCTTGACTGCTGCTTCCCAAATATAATTAAGTTTGATGGTTTTCAGTGGAAGAGGTTATATATTTGCTGAATTTAAAGCAGCTGAAACAGAAACAGCAACTGCATATTTTGAAAGTTAAACTGTGCACCTGCATATGTTGGATTGGATAGGTTTGAATCTTTAAATTAAACTTTTTTTTTTTAATTTAAATTTCCTTTCATTTTCTAGAGTGTTTATGTTTAAGATTTAAGATAACCACAAACCACAAGTAATTTAGATTTCCATGCAAGAGGTCAACTGTACCTAATTAGTGGACTGCTGTTGTGCTGTTTGTTCAGAACATTCCTGCTCACTTAGGAGGTAATCTTTGCTCACCGAGTTATCCAGGCAGCTCCCAATAATGCTGTCTGGAGTGTGAGCTGCCTTTTGCACAGACAGAATTCATGCACAACACAGAACAATATCAGCTTGATATTAAGGGGAAGGTGTAATTTTGCAGTGCAGACATCCTAGAGTTCACTTTGCTAATCAAAACCAGAGGACTCTCCTAGAGCTTCAGTCTCTCTCAGAGTTAGATTTTATGCTGTTTAGATTCAATCCTGTCCTTGAAGAAAGTTTAGGAAAGCATATGTCAGTTAACAATTTGTTGTGTGTATTCTCAAAAGACTGACTGCTGACTGCCCTGGGCATTTAACATTTGCACTCCTGTGTTCTTGAGCAAGCAGTAACTGCATCTCTCTACCTGTAATCCTGTGTTTGAGAAGTGTGGCCTGTGTTTGTAGTAATCCTTATTATATTGCAAATATATCTTTACCATGTTGCCTTATGTACAAATTGTCTTCTGTACCTTGTCCTAATGTAATGTGCATTATTCACTCTGGGGCTCTAGCAGAATTCTCACAATATTCTCACAAGCTTACTCTGCATGAGTGGAATTTATCACCAAATAGGATCAGCAAAAATATTTACTTATATCTGATTGAATTCTTATTCACTTAAGGGCAAAAAAAGACAGTTCACCAACTGAATTTGGAAGGAGTTGATACCAACCTTCAGTTACTATGTGGATAAAAAATGTAGGGACAGATGCCGTTTCACAGATAATGGTTGACACGCATAGATATGCTTGACAGTTTCTTCAGAAATCTATTAATAGCCTTTTCTATTTAAATAATTAAATTCAATGTCAGATGAATATTGGTTCTTTTCTTCTGTTACATTTTGCAAATTACTTAATTCTGAGCAATAGATTGAGTTTTTCATACCTTGGTAACAATATCTACTTCTTGGTTTACTTTTTGGTTTGGGCAATGGCACTGGATTTGCATTCCTTAGGTTGTGAATATGTGATCTGTAAATACATGGAACATGGGAACCTCCAGACACTTTATGTATAAATGGCTTTTTCATGAGCAGTCAAGCTAAATGATTTTGTTTTCTTTTTTGGTATGGATATTTGTTATTTTTCCTAAGTACACCACTGGTGGCCCCAAATGCTGGTGGTCTCTTTCCTGGCTGTATACAACTCCCTTATTGGGCCAAGTAATGCACAACTGCACCCAGTGCTGGTTTGCTATTTGCTAATGTGAGACATCTGACTTTAGGGGAAAAAGAGGCCTGACAGAATATTATCTGTTATTCTGCTTTCACAACACAGCCCAGCCACAAACTTTTAATGAAGTTTTTGGGAACCTATTGGGGTACAGAAGCAACATCAAAATTTTTTTAAACTTTGACTAATAAAAGAGCATAAAATGCCCTGTCACACAGAGTTTTTCATATGGAGCATGTTGGTGATTTCAATAAAAAGAAAGAATAGTTGCAGTTAATTTTGTCATAATTTTCATTGAACATTTTGAAAAGTTAGATATTCAAAGAAAGAAATTATTTATTCCTCTATTTTTTATTTCTCTATTCAGATGGAAGATGTCATAGCCCGCATGCAAGATGAGAAAAATGGGATTCCTATTCGTACGGTGAAAAGTTTTCTTTCCAAGATTCCCAGTGTCTTTTCTGGTAAGAGACAAAGTAAATTTCATACAATTTTAATGTTTTCACTCTGTCTTTTGTAAGGAGATGCTCTAGTGGGAAACACTTTTAAACAAGTACTGTTGAGAATTCACAGTCATCTAATCTGGAGGAGACATTCTTTATCCTTTGAATAGTTATAGAAGTTTTTGATGTTTCAAATTGGAGTGGGTTTACACAGAGCTGTTTTTGTCCTGAAAATTAGGTGAAATGCATACTTAATTTACTACAAAAAGTTAATGATCTCAAAATGGCAATATTTTTATGGCAGGTCAGGTCAGGTTTTTATCCGGCTTCCATAGCAAGTATGAGTTTAGTGTATTGGCCAGTACATGAAGATAAGAAATTTCATAGCAGCAGAACAAAAGAAAAATCATCACCACACTCCACACACCACACTGTATAAGGAGCGTATCCTTATACAGAAAGTGTCTGTGCAAGTTTCTAGTGTCCAGAACACCAAGAAGAATTCTATATTTTAATTTTCAACCTTCTGAACGTTTTTGCTAGTGAATAATCTTACCATAAAGAAGGATAGAGTCTTAAGAGTGAACAAAATTGCTTCCTGATTTTAGAAAATAGATTTTAGATTTTAGAAACTTGCACAAAAGTAGCCTCTGGAGAATGGATCTTTATTTGCCATGAGTTAGTTGCAAATTTAGCATGACATCTTAATGAATAATTCACATTGATTGTTAATCTCTGCCTTACTTGTGTACTATGGGTTTCAAAATAATAGACCAAAAAAAAAATTTTTTTTAGTAGAATAGACATCATACTTTTAAAGATTGAGTATATCAGTTATACATAAAAGTTACTGATGTACCAACTTTTCTATCGATGCATTAATTTTATTAATTCAGATTCAGAAGGAAATAAAAATCATAGAACAGTTCATTTTTTTCCTCTTATTTTTCTCTCTCAAATATCAGGGAGTACCAGTAATTTTTGCTACATGACTACAACTCCCACCAGAACAGCAAAACTGTCATTTTAGTTCAATTAATCTACTTTCCTGTCAGTTCTCTATCTTGAATGGAATCTAAAAGCTTCAAATCTATGTCCTTAGTCACTAGTTTCATTCAGTGTGCTAGGAGTTTATGTATATGTAGCAAACAAATATTAGCTTGAACTCAAAACTGTTGATTGCTAGGAAACATGGGAATATTGTTTAAGGATCAACAATAATGCAAATAAGGGCAACAATAATGCAAATATATTTAACAAAACCTTATAGTGCAGTTAATACCTACCAAAACATTAAAGTAGATGCTCTTCAGCTGAAATATATATACTTATATGCTCATATTTTTTATATGTGTGTTTGTGTGTGTGTGTGCATAAAAGATGTCTTGTACACAGCAATCTGTCCTGGATTATGCCCCATAAATACTGGAGCTTTGCAGTTGTTTGGTATTTTTTGGGAGGGAGACACAAAACAGATAACTACCACAGTGAAATCATGTTCCTGCAAGCACTTAGGAAAGACTCTACAAGTCCTTTAAACAACTTGTAAAGTCTACGGATGTCCGTAAATTGTCTGTAGGAATAGGGTCTTTTGTGGTACAATTTTAATTACGTTGTTATATACATGTTTTTAATGTAAAGTGAGAAACCAGTTGAAAGAAGTCACTTTTTATTGCTGAATTACTGACCATCTCTAAAGATGACTGTATTAGCAAAATTAGCCTGAGGAGTGGTATTTGAATTTAACAGAATGTTGTGATTGTAATAAATAGGATGATGTAATCATACTATCTCATTTACTGAGTCATTCCCGAAATGTTTTCACAAAACATCAACAGAGAGAAACATCTGAAATACAGATATTTCCCTATACACTATACAGACTTTTATGCTTCAGAAAAATATAATCCTAAATTAAAGATTATTCCACTTTGTGAAATTTTGAAAATATGAGGAATCATTTTGCTTTATGTTGCATATACTCCATAGATTCGTAGAGAGCAAATAAAAATCTGAAACTTTAAAGACTCTAAGGAAAAAATTAGGCAGGAGACTGTGCTCTTTCTATGTGATTATGCATTTTGATGAAAAAAAGAAGGACTTACTGTTATTGTCTTCATGCTTTTGAAATGTTTTGGAGGAGTGAAGAGGATAATATATATAGACATCTTGCTGGTCGGCAATAATAATTGCATAAAGATTGTTATATGCATTCATTATTAACATGGATTAGAGTATTAAGAATAAAGAGGAGGTGATTTTCCTGGTCCATAGCTCACCTTTAGACCTGGAAATGGATTAAAAAACTTGCTTTAAATGATGAATTTAGGGAGTCTGACATATGAATCATAGAGATTAAAAGGAGGTCTAAAATATAGTTTTTATTTTTGCTAAGAAGGGATACAAGAAAATGCCAAAACTTTCCTGTTCACTTTGAAGCAGAAAGAATCATTCAGAGTTTACTCACAAAGCAATAGTTGAGGGTTTGTTTTGGAAGTCTTGGTGAGGTGGTGTGAGTAGTTTACCCAGTATTAGTGCTGAAAGCTTCATAAGCCAATCAGAACGTGAATATTTCATTAAGAAGATGTAGTGATGTCTTGTGGTCATTATGGAATGAGTGTTCTTCATAGGACTTTAAAGTGTGCAATACTTGGGTGAGCTTGGTGATGAATAAAACCTGTGGAGAATGTGCCAATTGAGTGGTGTGTAAACTTGAGTGTGGAACATGAGAATTTTTATTGAAGGAGCAGGGAGAACTATGAGAAATGTGAGTTCATTTAAAGAATACACACAGAGGGAGAATAAAAACTTTTCACGAAAAACATGCTCATACTAGTTATTACTGGGTATTTCTGATGCATGGCTCAATTATTTTAGTCACAGCTTGAACCAACAAAAATAAGAGAAGGAGATCAGTAGAAAGGTGTGTTTTTAACATCTCCTGTGTTAAAGAGAAAATGAAAGCATTAATTTCCCTTTCACTGGAAAATATGACCCATGTGAAGTCTAGTTTTTTTCTCATTCCTGTAGGTGAAGCTAATATAATATCTTCTCTATATAAACATTATGTTTTCCCATTTTTTATAGAAAGATTTTTACCTTTATATCTAATTTTTCTTAAATATTTTTACTGATCTCAGAAAATGCTTATTTCTCTTTTACCTGAGAAATCATGAAAATAATGAGATATTGCATTTTGATTAGTAAATGTATTAATATAATGATTAATTACCAGTAGCAGTATGCCTGGGAAGAAAATTAAAGAATTTATGTGTTTGAACATAAAAAAGTCCAAGTTAAAAGCAGATTGTCAGTCTCAGTATCCTGGATAGATGTAGTGAGCGACTCCAGAGGAAAGCAGTGTTATAATAGTGCATCATACTCACAAATCACAGGTGGGTAAGCCCAAGGAATGAGTCACAGGGGCTACCTGCAATAGTATTGCTTGTTATACAGAGGCAGGCAGCAAAAAATGAGGAGCAATACAGTGAGAATTGTATGACTCAGGGGACTAATAACAGGAAAGAGAGTTTCATCTGTCATTAATTTTGATCTTCTACAGTTGAGTAATGAGTTGTTAACATCTGATGACTTTTCAGTGCTGCATCTGAAATTAGTTGATTGGTTTATCCACTTCACTACTGGAAGTTACCAACCTGAAACACAAAATGAAATAGAAAGCAATACTGCTTGGTTTGACAAGAAGCAAAAGCCACAAGGCATAACCCTTGATCATTTGGTGCCTTTGGACCAAAGTAATGTTGCATTATAGGTAAATTAAAGGATTTTTGAATTTATATTTTTGAGAGATTTTCCAGAGTAAGTTAACCACTTTAGAGAACCTAGGATTCTCATCTCCCAAGTCTTGAATTTATAGACCTTGTTTTTAACTTCAGTGACTCCCATGCTGGGTTGATGACAGGTTCCTACTTTCTTGTTCTATCCATTTCCTCTTCTCTTCTTGCATTGTCCTAAAGTGTTATTTAATGGTAGAATAATTGCTGATTTCTTTATGCTAAAAGAGCCTCTTGTTATTTGCAAACTGAGCCTTCAGTGTCAAAACTGTAAGCTCTCTCTCCTTGACAAGGTTCCACTCCTAGTGAAATGCTTCGATGAAAAGCTTGCTGTCAGTTCATGAAGGATAGAAGCTGGATTATTCCCTCTCCTGTACCCTCTCAGATGGGCAGATTGGAACAGGGACTTGCCATCTTTACAGCTTCACTTTTCAAAGCAGAATTTTGAGAAGAAAAGGTTTATAAACCTCTATTCCTAAATGAACAGTTTGTTTGAAGTTATAACACCAGTCTCATTTGTCATTTTGTCAGTGAGATGATTTGCATCCAAATGATCATTAGGGAGTGGATATGTTTTGTTCATGATTTTTAGAGTCATGAGTGGAAGAGATTGACTAAGTGTAGCCATAAGATTAGACACATAGTAATTTCCAAGTATTGACATAATTAAGTGATTAATGAGTGATGCTTGTATGCTTTACAAAAAACCAGAGTGCTGATATTTGGGTGCTATCTGCATCCCTTCACCTCCTGTTTCTGTTTGTTTGCCTGTCTTGGCCGGGTGACTGGGATGGTAGTTAAGGGTGATCCTGAGCTGCTTGAAACTGGACAGAAATTTTATATCTTATGGAAAATCAGTTTTGTGACAGCTTTGCCTTTGGAAAGTGCAGAATGAGCAAGCTATGGTGGGCTGGGATCAAGTAAGATGAATGCTCTTCAGAAAGAAATGAAGAACTCTTTCCACTATCTTTAATAATAGAATCATAGAATTGTGTGGGTTGGAAGGGATCTTAAATACTATGTAGTTCTAGTCTCCCTGCTAAGGGCAGGGATATCACCCACTAGATCCAGTTGCCTAGGGCCCCATCAAGCCTGACCTTGAACACTTCCAGGGATGGGGCAGCCACGACTCATCTGGGAGCCTGTTCCAAGATGATTGTACTCTCCATTTTCATTTTAAGGAATGTGTTAATATCAGACCTTTATTAAATTACTATTGGAATGAAA